AAATGACAAATTTGGAATTTCATATGGAGCATGTGATGCAACATCTATTGCATAGCTTAAGCACGATAAGCTTTGGAAGCCCAAAACAGAGTCAAAGGGTCCAATGTTCGTCAAGAAGCTTTTTTGGTCCAAAAGAAGTGTCCATGGTAGTGTTTAGTAGTTAAAATTTTAGTAATTTCTTAACTTCTTGGACATGGCTTGGTTTTTATTTTGGGTCAAGTTATTAAATAGATCATTATATATAGATTTAATTATGTCTAGAATAATCTTAGTAGTAAAAAAAATCCAAGTTTCCTATTTTGAATTCATGTCATGGTTGGAGTAAAAATTAGAAGCCATCTATGAAGCTCCGACACTTCAAAACAAGTGCCGTATCCGTGTCGGACATAAAGACACAGCAGGGACACGCAGATTTTCATGGGACACGGCGGGAACACTAGCTTAGGGACATGCCAACTTATCTTTTTCCTATTTTCTTTAGTGCTTTTGCTGAATGTTGGATGTTGAATGTTTATTATTTTTTTATTTGATTTAAATACATAATAGAACATCCATAAAAAATAAAAAAATAAAATAAAAAATGAACTATAAGTATTAATTTTAAATATAGAATTAGACTTAGTTTTTGTTAATATTGATTATTTATGAATGTAATATTAATATAAATAGCAAATAAAAATATGTGAAAACATATTTTATTGGCATGTCCCCGCTGTGTCCGTGTCCTCATTTTTTTGAAATCACTGTGTCCCGTGTCCGCCTCCATGTCCGTATCCATGTGCGTGCTTCTTAGGAAGTCATCAAAGTTTCCTATCAAAGTTGAAATAGAATTGGAAGTCATGGTCATAGTTACTCTAGAATATTTGCATATACCAAATATTTTTAGTTTTCAAATTTGAGTTGGTCCTTATAGAAGTAGAAGAGTAGGCTTTGGCCTAACCCTTGTGTGAGGGTGAAACACCTCTTTCTCTCTCTTCTTGTTCTACTTCTTCTCTTTCTTCTTCTTTGCGCACATACCCTAGTTACTATTCTCGGTTTACTATTTATGGCCCTCTAAAAGTATACTTTTCAGCCCCAAAACCATATTCAATCACCCCCAAATCAACCTTAATCCCTTCTCCTACCTATTAGTCTTCAATTTAACCGTTAAAACCGTAAATTACTTAGTGTTTGCGCCTTCTAATAGTCTCTGTCTAAAAAATAAGCAAACTGATGGGCCATCAATTGGTTTAGTTATGACAATATATTTATTTTAATTTATTTGCTAAATTGATAATGAACCCAAAAATAAATAAATAAACAAAATAAAATAGGAAAATAAAGTGTCATTTGGCAAGTTGTCCGGTTACATATTTTAAGCCATAGCCTAGGGCTTTTATGGACTTTACGGTTGCCATGTAATTTACATGATATATTGGGACCATGCATCAAACATTAAACCACAACTTTAGTTTGACACCCATTTATAGGGTGTAGACCGTGTAACTGAGCCATGAAATCTCCTTCCAATTAATCAAATCCATACAACATATGGCGATATTTGTATACATATTTTATAGCCATTAGATGATTGATTTGCTTACATTGTTTATGGCCATCATATCATTCAATTGTACATGGTCACATCAAGACATATTTTGTAGATGCTTTGGATTTTGTCCATTGTTTTTCTAATACGCTCCTTCACTTTACCCTTGTGTATGGTCACGGAGCAATTTAGCCCCCTAACATTTAAAAATAGTTTTGAACTAAATTGTTACTAGTACTCCGTTAATAAGTGCAGTAAAAAGATATGTACCCTCTCTTTCTTTTCCTCCTATTTTTTTATTGCAAAAATATAACCTAATTTCTAATTTAAACCAACGAAGCAAAAAATTAAACCTCTAATTTATAACTTTGTAACCTAAAATCAAATATTAAGTTGTCCTACACATAGTATAGGTATTAATTTGATGAAGTTTGCATACTGGTTTTCCAAGTTCCTATAGAGGTTCAAATAAATTCAAAGGTTATTCGAACCTAGCCTTCAAATATGGATTTCCCAGATTACAGCTGTGGAACATAGGTTAATTCTCGTGCTTCAAGATAAGGACAATCTTTTGACTTAATTGCAAGCTCTTGATAATAATTAAGAAATTGAATTGTTATCTTTTCTTAGAGTGGCTCTTTCAACGGTGGTGGGAGGTGGATGGGGAGTTGAATGGGCGGTGGGGTTAGGGTTATGATGAATAAATGACATAATTGTCTTTTTGCGTTGGAGTTGATTGACTTTTTTATTTTTATTTTTCATGCGAACTCTCAAACTAGGCATGTATGCCACAATAGCCATCAATTTGGATGAAATTTGTAACGGTAGTGTGGGGAAAAAATCAAAGCCACAGTGTTTTTGAAGCGATCAATGAAGAGATGATCCATGCCTATGAATCTACAAAACAAGTTATCACTTTTTCTCCGTCGGCCTATGCTGAGCAGGCACTTTGATTTCTACGTTAGCACCACCTTCATGAATATAACAATAGAATGATTTATTGAATATGCAAGTGTATTGTTGTCTACCTCATTGTGCTAGAGTGTGAGCTCTTTATAGAGCATGAATGTCTCCTCTTAAATAACTAACTAAGGTGGTTGCATTTATTGTGGGGTAGTGCCTCCTTTTTTGGAGGTTAATGAGCCTTATCCAGGTGCACTAGTGGAATGTCTTGTTGAGATGCATCATGATTCTCTTCACCATAATGGCTTAGTTGTGTATCTTAAAATACTGCCACATGTCCATGGTGGGTCTTTTGTAACTTTTATGCTAATTTTTGCTCCCCCAACTTTCGCTTTCTTTGATCAAAGTGACAAAGGTGTAGAAGCTTTTTGTTGCTATGATTGTCAATTGTTTGGAGTGATATTTGGGTGCTAGGCCATGTGCCCCCCAGTCTCCCAATTTGATAGAATGTGATATTGGACATGCCTAACTAAGTTAGGACTTTTGCATTGCGTGTCTAGGAAGTGCTAAGTCTGTGAGAATGCCTAGCAGGTGCTAGGGCTTATTCCAAGAATGCCTTGTAGGTGCTAAGGTTTATTCTGAAAGTGCTAGGGAATGCCTAGCTAGCAAGCGCTAGGGCTTAGTCCAAAAATGCTTGACTATGTTAAGGCTTATTCCAGAGAATACCTAGTCATGCTAGGATTTTCATTTTGAATGCCTAGTCGAGCTAGGGCCTACATGAATAGTGCCTAGGCAAGCTAGGGCTTATACGTGGAATGCCTAGCTGAGCTAGGACTTACAAGTTACATGAATAATGCCTAGACAAGCTAGGCCTTATTCGTAGAATACCTAGCTGGGGATGGACCCTCTACTAGGACTTCGAGTCTACGCTTGTGAGTATCCATCTTTTGAGAAAGAAGTGTTACTTTGTTAATATCCGGTGTTTTTTAGAAAGAAACCGTAATTTTATCGATATTCCATTTTTGAGAAGAAACTATAACTTTGTTAGTGTCTAGTTTTTTGTGAAAGAAACTGTAACTTTGTAGTATCCAATTTTTTAGAAAGAAACCGTAACTAGGTTGGTGCGATGACATGGGTTGAGAACGAAACGATAACTTTGTAGTATCCAAGTGCACTTGTGGGAGGAAATATTTGTATAAAAGTTACATGAGACCCACCATGGACACATGGTATTATTTTAAGTTACTTAACTAAGCCATTATAGTGGAGAGAATCATGGTGCATCTCAACTGGACATCCCACTGGTGCACCTGGATAAGACTTGTCACCTCCAAAAAAGGAGGCACTAGCCGAGATTAAATGCAACAACCTTGGTTATTCAAGTGGAGACATCCATGCTCTATAAAGAGTCCGCACTCTAGCATATTGCGGTAAACAACAATACACTATCTTTATATTCATGGAGGAGGTGCCAACTTAGGCATCAAAGTGCCGCCCAACATAGGCTGGCGGGGCACTAACGGTGTCTTGTTTTGTAGATTCATGGGCGTGTTCATTTATTTGTTGATATCTTCAACAACAGTGTGGGTTTGATTTTTTTCCCATACAATTTGGCGCCGTCTATGAGAATAATTAAATTCAATGGAGAGATGAAGAAGATGCATCAATTCTGCAATTTTTTGAGTACTTGTCACTTAAGATCAACAATTTTGCATGTCATAAGAACTTGGTCTCAAAGGAAGTTTAGCTTTATGGAACTTATTTTACTCCAATGTGTGCATATAAAGAGCAATACTTTTGATGCAAACCCAGCGCTTTGCTTTGGGTCTGCAACTGTGAGACTCAACAATTCTCTCTCAACTCTGAAGAATTGTTCGGCAATGGAGACCATGCACAGTGGAGTGCCGACAACATGGTAGTTTGCATTTCAGCCACTGAAACAGCCTATACGGCTGGGGACCTCAATGGCATGCCGAGCAATGACGCGGTAGCAGAAGAACACCCCAATGTGATGGTCACTCACAATCCAGCGCCACCACCTCTGTTTTTGCAATCTCTCTCTCTCTCTCTCTACTAAGAAACAAAGGCGGGTGGGTAAGAGATGAGGAGGTGGTTGTCCACAGGTAGGGAGGTGAAGTTCAAGATAAGCCAAAACCACGAGTGTTTTTCATTTATTTAAATGTCATGGCACAAAGTGCTCAAGGCAAAAATTACAGGGGAGTTAAAAGAGAATTTTGCCAAAAAGAGTAGGTTGGGGGTGGAATAGGTTAAAAGGACATAATGAATTTGAAAATGACAAAAGTAGGCAGAAAAGATATATGGTTGAAAATGGCACAATCTTGCTTTATATCTGCTTGTACTTGGGGTTATTTGCCCCATCTCACTCAAGGTAAAAGGGAATCACATTTTGATCTTGTAACTAACGTAGATTATCTAACTTAAATCTGCCATTTGGTTGGTGTCAACATGAGAGTTTGATAGTTAACATGTTTTATCATTCTGTACAAGAGTAAGGAAATAGGATTACTCTATGAATTGCAGCTCAACTGTTACAATACCTCTGGTGCAGGGATACAAGGTGTCTCTTTGGAGATGTGCTGGGCTCAGTTGGGTGTGGTTCTGGTATGTAATAATCCTGTTAGCTCTTCTTTGTTGCTGTATTCCATATGTAGGCATATGGGAATATGAATAGTTTATGTTCCTTTGAAGAACCTTTGAGTAGTTCTTTTCCTGATACTTTACAAACAATAAAATGGAGTTGAATTGGATTAATGCAAGTTGTTCCTTTAATCCCATCATTTAATTCATGGATCTTATTACTGTGTGGAGTGTGCTTTGAATTGATTTTTGATAAATGATTTATGTATGTGCCTCTTGTGCAATGTCATTGAACTCAGTGAGCACATGCTGCAGAATTTATGTTGGGATTTGTGATGAGATTAGGGGTTCAATTAGCTTTCCTCTCTAGTGGACACACTCTTGGGACTCCATTTACTGTTTGGTGGGAATGTTGTACTTATTGAGCCCTTTTTAACTATTCACATGTCTCTTTGGATTAGAATGTGAATGAATTTTTTTAACGGAAAGAAGCAAAAGAAATATTAGATGACAGCATAGTTGCATAGCTTTTGCAATCCCGACACCAATGTTTGACATGGGTCACTTGTAAATGTAAAGCAATGTTGATTATGCTTTCATATTTGTCTAGTATAGTTCACCCTGCACAAAAATGTTGTTCTTTTTGTTCCCTTTTTTTTTTTGTTGTTGTTGTATGTGTGTATCTGTCACCCTCGTGGGTGTGCCCTTTATATAGAACATTAGTGTCTTCTTGCCATTGTGTCCCAGCTTGGAAAATTTTAGACCAGCCAATGCTCCCATTTTTGGCAGGATTGCGTCCCCTAATCTGACAATCACTCAGAGGTAACTTCTCCTTAATCCGGCAATTTTCCGGATGTGATAAGCATTATCCCCCGGAACCGTTGGTTTTTTCTTGATTGCCTCCACCCCTCACTCGAGTTCCAATGATCTGAACACCTAATTGGCTGGACATCCAGCCATGTGTCATGTTTGGTCCAAGTTGACTGGACAACATGGCCTAGCAGAACACGCCTCCCACGATTATAATATATATGTATATTGGTTTGTGATTACAATATATTATCATGTTGAATACTTGGGGTCACTCGGAGCTTCATCAAGTTTACTCTCATCTGAATGTTCCTTCTATATCTGAGGGTTGGGTTACTATCATTGTTATTTAATGCCACCATATTGGGTTGATCAAGGCCGCCCTGGAAGCCCAAATAAACAGGGACTGGAGTATTTCGGAAGCTGCAGTCCTGCGAACTCAGAAAAAGACTCTGCAAATAATGTGTGAATTAAATTTATTTTAGGGGTGATTCACATCATATCAAATCAAATTTACATACACTTGGGATTTTGGATAACCTTCTGGACAAGTATTTTGGGTATTTGGAATTTTTGTTTTGGAAGGGAATAGTGATTGAGGGTGGTTTAGGTGAAAAAAAAAATACGACGAACAAGAAGAAGAAGAAAGGCACAAGGGAAGTCATTAAAAAAAAGTAGTGATGCCAAGGGCTAGTGTTACAATATTATGTTCTTTCAATAAGTGTGAACCTTTATTTTTAGTTTGATTGAAATTTTTATTATTTGTAATTGTGTTATCTGTGTCATGTTTGCGTTTATAATTAGATCGGGTTAGTGTTATGATACTTGGCACAATCAATTAAACGATGTAGTTAGTGCTGAGGAAATTACAAAATTTTAAAATAATACGATACAAACAGGACTCCCGGCATGACTTTTAGTCCTAGAAACACAGACAACAAAAAGCCAATGCCCCAAGCAAAATGGTGAACCAAATACTAGGACTCAGGAGTAATTTAATGTTGTGTTTGGTTGAAGGATTTGAAGAGGGATTTGGAAAGAGAAATGGAAAAGGTAGGTGAAATGTGAAAAAAATATGCTTACATTTCACACAATTTCACACACCTTTTCCCTTTCCCTTTCCAAATCCCTCCCTAAATCTTCCAACTAAACACAGCGTAAAGCAATTTCATTATCACTGAACATCATCCAAAACAATAATGTATTATGTATCAATTCCTACTTCAGAAAGGTAGGAAAGTAACCTGCAAATTATTATTATTATTATTATTATTCATGTGGCGTTGATGTGGTTATGCCAAAAATATTAATTTCAACATCTACACAAATAAATTATAAAATTCATTTAAGACACTGAATAATTTTCAATCTACAGTGAGCTTTGGTACCCCAAACCCCTTAAGTCCCATTTGTTTGGAGTTATAAGAAGCGGATTGGGACTACTAATACCGTGGTATTACTAATACCTTGTTTGTTTTGAGAGATGGCCATGGGACTACTAATACTTTGGTATCACTAATACTCTTGGAAGGGGGATTCATAGTGAGAAGGTAGAGATAGTATTAGAAAAATAGTGAGAGGATTATAATTTTTTTTATTTTTTTTATTTTTTATATATTGAGAATTTTTTTAAAATATTAATGTTTAATTGTTTTATTTTTTTATTTGTTTTATTATTTTATATAAAAATAATTTAATAATTTCTCATTATTAATCCCCTCACTATCAATTCTCTCACAATTAACCCCCTCACTATCAATCCATTTACTAACAATCCTCTCATTATTAATTTCCTCACTATCAATCCCCTCCATTCTATCTCTGAAAACAAACGGGGCCTTAAGCTCTTCTAATGGGATTTCTTCTGCGACTTTAATACCTGAGTTTTTTTTGGTATTGTTTGGAAGCATGCTGTTTGATGGAGGAATCCGAATTGGGGCCATGATGTCTCTGACAATGTTATTCCTTATAACATTACTCTTTTAGTGGATAGTGGGGGAGTTCGGATCCTCGGCCGCCCTCTCCTGCGGTGCTTCTAGCGGCGCCCCAAAACGACGTCGTTTTGGGGCAAAATTTCAAAAAAAAAGAAGAAGAAGAAGAAGAAGAAGAAGAAGAAAGAAGAGAACAAACCAGAGAAGGGAGAAGAAGAAGAAAGGCAGCGGAAGAAATAAGGGAGAAGAAGGAAGCAGTGGGTTGAATAAACAACAAAGATGAATAAAACACAAAATTTCCTCAACAACAAATTACCAAAATCCCAAATCATCAACACTTTATAAACATATGAAGAAGAAGAAGAAAGAAAGAACAAACCAGAGAAGGGAGAAGAAGAAGAAAGGCAGCGGAAGAAATAAGGGAGAAGAAGGAAGCAGTGGGTTGAATAAACAACAAAGATGAATAAAACACAAAATTTCCTCAACAACAAATTACCAAAATCCCAAATCATCAACACTTTATAAACATATATAAGAAAAACCCACAAATTTAAACACAAAAAACAGACCCAAACACTCCCCATTCTCTCGATCCGGACTCGACTCTCGTCATCTCATCTAAATTTCTCATCAAAGTTTGTTACAAACACTCCCCATTCTCTCTCCCTCTCTAGTCGTTCTTCCACTTTTCTCTTCTTTAACCCTCTTTCTCTCTTCAAAAACAGACCCATCAATGGAAAACTCATCAAAATTCTAAGAAAATCCAAACCCATATTCAAATTACATCTCATCTAATCTCTCATCAAGGTTTGTTCCAAACACCCCCATTCTCTCTCTCTCTCTCACCCTTTCTTCCTCTTTAGCCCTTTTTTCTTCAGACCATCAATGGAAAACCCATCAAAATTCCAAGAAAATCAAAACCCATCTCCAAACAGCGATAGCACCAACAGTACAAGCAGTAGCAGCAGCAACAATGGCCTCAGCCACCAACCTCCACCCAAACCCATCACCAAATCCGAACCCAACAACCCGTACCCGGCCCCTTCGTCCAAGCAGACACCTCCTCCTTCAAACAAGTAGTTCAACTCCTCACTGGATCATCCGACACCGCCAAACACGCCGCCCAAGAGAAAGCGACCAAATCCTAGATCTAGATCGAGATGGTGGGAAGAGACTTGAGGGTTTGCCTTCTTCTCCCTTCTCTGGTTTGATCTGTTCTGTCTTTTTTTTCTTATTTTTATTGAAATTTTGCCCTAAAACGACGTCGTTTTGAGGCACTGTAGGAGAGTGCCGCAGGAGAGGACGACCGAGGATCCGGACTCGATGGTGGGGTGGTGTTTGGCAATAGGAATGATTAGTGCTGGGAATGGGACACTTACTAGTTTAGTTGTTGTGATATGAACTAGTATCAATTCATGCATCTTTGCCAACTACCCATGAGTTGGCTAATTTGGATACTCCTTCCCCCTCAAGTCAAACTCAAATTCATGCCACTGCTTTGATCATGATGAACAAAGTCATGATGGCCCTTTTTGTCCAACATTGCAATCCAAATTTCTTGACTAATCATGCATCCTACAATCATTCATGGAGGGCTTTTTTTTTTTTTTTTTTTTCTCCCCCCTTCAAGTGCAGGTGATTTTAAACTATAATAATTTTAACTTTATTTATTAAACCCAATTGTTTCTTGAAGTTGCGTTTTCAAGACATGGCTGTAGAGTTGAAATTGCGTCTTGATAACATGACTTCAACTAATTTGCCATTAAAGCGGGTTAATCTGACCATGCAAAGCTGGATTAGGCTGAATACCTGTTCGACCACGGCCCGGATCCCTCTGTCAGCTTGGGCCAGTCAAATGCAAGGTCGAGCCATAGAGCCCCTGTTATGACCTTGATCAAGTGTCTTATGATCAAGCATTGATAAGTGGGATAGCCTAGAATGCGAGCAAGATGGAATTGAACATGAGTTGAGTCGAGCAGTCCAGTAATTCAAGGCCAATCTAACATGGGGGAGAGAATTGCGGCAATGGTTAGGTGATGGTTGGCAATGAGGTTAAGAATGGCGGACTCAGGGAAAAAGGGAAAATTATCAAAGGGTGGTCGAGCAGGCTGTTTTTGGCTCTGTAGGGATTGGAGTTGGGCCTTAAAAGTTTTTTAACCCAGCTTCCTTATGAGAGAAGGTGGTTTAAAGTGATTCTTAGCCGCATGAAATAAAATGAGCCTAATAGAATGGTGATCTCTCCACTTTAAGAATGTTGATGACTTGAGCAAGGGGCACTTGAGGTGGTCATCTTGTATGCAACTTAGAGCATCGAAGGGACTTCTCCGACCAAATTTCATTTGACACGACATACGGTGTTTTTTATCTTACAGGTCCATCGTGATTTTTCTTATCTTCGTGTGTGTAGATGTTTGCCTTGATCTTTTACGCCGCGTACTTTCCAACTAAATTTTTTAGATCCCTGCAAAGAAATCTGTTTAGTTGTGAAGTTGAAAATCAACACTTACAGTAAATATAGAATTTAATCTTCTCTTTTAATCCTTCCAAACAAACATCTCCTTCCCGTAAACTCACACTTGAAAATATAATTTTAGGTTTGAAATAGAGTTTGGATAATACAGCGTCAATTAATGTGGCGTACATTAGAAAAAAAATTGAAGTCTTGAAAAAAACAATCTGAGTCAGTAAAAATAAAAAACTGTTTGGATTCGAGAATTTTGTTTCAAAAACCACTTTCATTGGATAAGAGAAAAACTCATCCTATCCTATCCTATCCTTCCATCTCTATAGAGACAGCCCTGTCCACTGTCTAGAAAGGCTCCAACCTAGACAGAGAAAGTGCTCAGGTCCTACAAACCTGAGTCTACCCGCCCTCGTGCATGCAATGAGAGAGAGAGAGAGAGAGGGGGGGCTAGGGTCATAGGGACCCAACCTATGATGAATGATGACCAAAAAGTGACGTCAGAAAAAAAAAAAACCACTAATCTCAATCCCAAGAGAAGTTATTGGTGGTCCATAAGTAATTTCACGTCATATTTCACATGTATTATGATTAATGGAAAATGAGTGAGACACTAATTAGTGCTATCACTAATTATGTGATAGTGGGTTCTATCAAGAATGATTTGATGTTTTGATCTTGGTGTTGTATTTTTTTTCTTTTTTTATTGAGTGTCATGTCATTAGTGGTCTTTTTAGAACTCTAAAATTAGTGATCTCTATCATTATTGATGATTAATTGAGCGGATAAGATTTACTATTTATATTAATTAATTAAAAAACATGAGATAACATAATAATTTATGTAATTTATGATTAACAAGGAACGACCAATAATTTTCCCAATCCCAATCTCATCGATGCTATCACGTCAAACAGAAGAGAGAGATCTCTCATCGATAATGAAATCGTAAGCTGGCAACAAAATGTCCAATAATACAATGTTACGTGCATGGCTGGATATAACATATTTTACTCCCTACTATTACCACCACTGCTATTACAATGTTTCTACCTACTTTCTTGCACATTAGATCATATATATATTAGTAAATCTTATATGGTACATAAGATATATATAACCTTAAAAGAGAATCAATATTAGTATCTGGAAAGATCTTTATGCTGTGTTTGGTTTGGGGATTTGGAGAGGGATTTGGAAAGGGAAATGGAAAAGGTAGGTGAAATGTGAATAAATCATGTCTATATTTCACATAGTTTCACACACCTTTTCCCTTTCCCTTTCCAAATCCCTCCCCAAATCCCTCAACCAAACACACTATTAAAGATCCAAATGCCAGGAGGATTCTCCCCTATTGAAAACCATTGACTTCTCAGGAACAGTTGTTGTATCAATTCCTCCACAATAATAATCCATGTCAACAAGCAAGGGATTTGCATAATAGGGTTCATGGTTGTGGTGGTGGTCTACCCAGCGTAAGTTAGCATGGGGTGGTTGAAACAGGGAATAGTTGGTCTCTGTCTTGCACTGTTTATGAATAGTAGTAGTAGTGGGTTGTTGATGTGAGAGGAGGAGGGACTTGAAGAGGGATGGTGATGGGTTGTTGTTGTTGTTGTTTAGTGTGGTGGTGGTGATGGTGGTGCTGCTGGTGGTGGGAGTGGGTGAAAATGTGGGTTGAAGTTGGTGGTGGAAATTTATTGTTGGGAGGGGGTGGTGGGGTTGGGAGGAGAGAATTGGATTTATCAGTGTTTTGAGGTCAATGTCTTGGTGGTGGTAGTGAATCAGAAAAGGGTTTTGGTGGAGAGAATGGATTGGATAGAGAGATTGAGATTCCAACATTGCTGTTGTTGCTGGTGTTGTTTCAGATTCAAGCAATGGGGGTAGAGAATCAGTGGTGGCAGATGAAGAATAAGCCTCGAATAAGTAGCTTTGGCCTCCAAACATTGCATTTCTCTTCTCTCCTGTTCTGTGTATTATTCTGCAAATCACCCATTCCTCCTGCCAAAAATAAAATAAAATAAGAACTAGTTTCACAAACAATTTAGGGTAGGGTCACGCTAAATTATTTGAAGGTGGAAGTAATGTATATATTTTCAAAAATGAAATGATTTGCAAATAAAAATATTATTTAAAAACATATGTAGAAGAGAAATAAAATTTATCATCTGATTCATTTCACTTCCTATTTATATTTATGCAATAAAAACCATGTTTGTATATGTAGGATTTAATATATTCAAAAACTAGTGAAACTTGCTATGCCACATAGCAGATGAAGAGTTTGGTAAAATTAATTAGGTGACATATAGAAACCCTCTAGAGAAAATGGTGTATCAATGACATTTTTTTTTAAAATCAGGAAATATCATTTTGTATTTGGTGAGTGTTTTGTTGGGAAATGAAAAAACTATTACTGCGGTTGATTTGTATTTAGAATCATAATTTTATTGGTATAATTTTCAAATCACTTTTTAAAATTTATAACTAAACAAACAATTTAAAATTACTCAAAACTCAGTTCAAAAATTAATTTCAAAACTCATAACCAAACACACAACTCAAAATTCAATTTAAATTTTTTTTCAAAATTCTTTTGATGATATAGGCCCTGTTTGGTAAGATTTATTTCTAACTTATTTCAGCTTTTAGCTTAATTTAAGCTATTTTGATGTGTTTGGTTCAACTTAACAATACAGCTTATAGTTTTTTATAAGTCAAAAATCAACTTATTCTTTGAGTGGGGGAGGAGAAGCTTAATTTATAAGTCAAAAATCAGTTTATGTTCACAGTTATAAGCTATAAGCTGTTAAACTATAAGCTATAATCACTTTTCCATAACTGTACCAAACAGGACCATAGTGTTGAAGATGGTTAGTAATGGAATTGTTAAATTATTTTTATAAAAAATCAAAAACAAATAATTTTTATATTTAAAAAATATCTAAAACAAGTATATATATATATATATATATATTTCAAATAGCAGGTTACAATTACAAAAATAAATAAATAAATAAAAATAAAAAACATTGCACAGTTTTGGTGAGAGAACGACCAGATAAGCCTAATTCGCTCTTTTCAAAATTTAAAATTCAAAAATTTCTTTCACAAACTCTTTTTAAAATTCATAATCAAATAAAATTTTTCTTTTCAAAACTCAACTCACAATTTTACATTCAATTCATAACTCTAAAAAAAGAATCACAATTGTAAAATTAAACTAAACGCAACTTATATTAAACAAATTTTTTCTTTTTAAAATTCAACTCTCTCAACTCAAAAATCTAAAAAGAAAATCACAATTTTAAAATTAAATTATTTTGTATGAAAGTTTTTGTTATTAAATCATTATGTATTGGGATTAATGATAATGTATTATAGGTTATTAGCATTTTCCAACTATGTAAATTGGCAAATAGTAGATTTGAAAAAAGAAAAAAGAAAAAGAAAATGAAAAAAAGGGGATATTAGTCAAGTGAAAATTGGCTAGTCGTTCTATTTGTCACAGTGATCTTGTTGCATCAATCAACAAAATAATAAAGTCAAACATGTAAAAGGACAAAACAAAAGAGGTGAGAGAAATTTTGATTGGATTAATCACTTGTATCTATTTATCAAAAAAGTGTATGAAAATGAAGAAAATGAATAACCTTGAAGGAGTGACGGTAGGAGAAGTCACCGTGGAGACGGTACTCATGCATGACCCACTTGGTCTTTTCACCACGGGGTGCTCTTCCCTTGTAGAAAACTAGGGTTTTCTTCATCCCAACCAGTGCACTGGACGCACTGTACACTTCTCTGTCTTTACCAGTTGCTTTCCAATACCCTGCACCTGTTGCTCTGTTTGTTCTCAGCCCTGTTGGGTACTTCCTGTCTCTCAAGCTGAAGAAGTACCACTCTCTCTCCCCCATCTTTGCCCCATCTGCACCCACACTTGTAATTTCTTAACATACCAACAATAACCACCACAAATTAAGGTGTCTGTTTGATTGTTTATTGGAGTTATTTATACCATTTATTATTATTAATACTACTTCGAAAATCTATATCCAAGTGTTTTGTTTTGTGCAACTTTTGCTTATTGTTTAAATTAAACTAAAAGAACGAAAAACTACACTAAACAGGTCTCAAAGTGTTCTTAATTTAAGAGGCGGGCAATTTAATTTGTTGGGTTCCAAACTATTTGTGTCTTTCAGCTAAGAAAAATTGCAAGGGCATATAAATAAACAACATATTTGGTGGATCCTACTTATCTGTGTGTGTGTGAGAGAGGATTATGTTTGATTCTGTGCACCAGGAAGAAGAAGAAAAATTGTTTTGCTAATATCAATATGAATGTCAGAGAGATTAAATGATTTCTGGAAAGGAGACAGATTTTGCAACGAAAGAAGAAATTAAGGTCCAGAATCCAGAGATGAGTGTGTGATTGGTACTCTTCTTAACTCAAACTGGATCTGCATGTTTATCTGAGAATGGAAAAGGACATGCATTATTGAAAATTTTATAGGAGAGAGCGAAGAAAGTAGGAAGGAAGGCAATAACCCAACCCAACCCAACCCAAAAGAAGAGGTGTCTGAAAGTCTCAGGTCGAAAGCTGGCTGAGTGAGAGACCTTTATTAGTTTTGGGAATCTGGGTCCAAACAACGTATTACAGATCCCCATTGGATTCTCTCTCTTTCTTGCAGTGTGTTTGTAAATTGTATGCATATCTCCTCCACATTGGACGAAGAACACCATTACATAACCCATAAACTTAAAATGGTAGTGCATTAATTTATGTTGATGACAAAACATGAGGAAACAAAAGGATATATACATACCTGGAAGCTCCCAAGGCTCACATCGATTGAGGTCGACCTCGGCAATGTGGACAGCAGCATAGAAAGTGCCATGAAAGACTTTGGAAGCGAGATAGAAAGTTATAAGCTCTTCGTCAGTTGGGTGGAACCTGAATCCCGGTGGCAATCCTTGCTCGTTTATGTCTTCGTTTAGTTCACACATAACATCTTCCATACCCAACATCTGAGAGAGAGAAAGAGAGAGTATATGATTAGAGATGAAAAGAAGAGGCAGGCTGTTATAACTTAGAAAATAACATGTAGATATATAGGGAGGGGAAGCACTGAAACCGACGGAGTAGATAGAGAGAGAGAGAGAGAATTGGGAAGTTAATAATAAAGGCTATGGATGGGTGGATAGAGTGGGAAGGGCCTACAAATGTGCACCTGAGAAGGGTACACACCATAATAGAGAAAACAATTTTAGAAAGACGAGAGAGATTGTGGAAGGTGAGAGAGAGAGAGAGAGAGAAGAGAAAGGGGGGTTTGTTTTGGTTTATTAAATGCGACTTTGGCTGCAGAGATGGAAGAAAGATGATCAGATTCTTATGCGTGCGTGTGTGACCAAATGTTTAGGGGGAGGAGCCCCCAGCCAACTCAGCCTTTCCTTTCTCCCTTGGATTAGATTTTCACTTCAATAAGTTTCATAAAAATTATGTTTGTTTAGAAAAAATTATAATTATATCATCTTATGGGATCAGAAATACAGGGACTAGCAATTTCATTAACAGGTGATATTTAAATTCAATTTCATGGGATTGAAGGTGAAATGATTGTTTTGTTCTTTATTTTACATAAATAATAAAGTCACATTCTATATATAATAAGAATTTATATATAATTTCATATATTTAGTTCTAATTAACTAATATCATCATACTTACTATACAAACAAACATAATTTATATTGCATCTCTAACTTAATATCACAACGCCATAATCTCATTATTTAATGCAACCGTATTAATAATTTTATTCAACCTAATCCAATAAATAAATGAGGCTATAACCCACAGTTATAATCCACACAACTCAAATTCAACTCTAATTTTAAGTAAATTACATTTTGCACTCCTGTATCTTACACCAAATTTCATTTTGGCTCTTACACGTGAAATTATGACAAACAGTCCCTTGCACTTCTGGTCAAATCCTACTTTGGTCCCTACATATGAAATTGTGACAATTAACCTCCTGTATTTTTTATCAAATCTCATTTTGGTCCCTACACAAGTGTCAATGTTCCCTTTTTGTTACTTAATTATTTAAATTTTTAACAGAATCTAATCATGTGATAAGAATACGACTACGATATGAGGGAATGAGAGAAAAATCATCTACATTTTTCACTAATACGCACTTTGTACCAAAAATTACATCAAATTATGACTTTATTAGGTTAAAACAAAATACAAATTGTGAATTATTAAGAAGATTAATTAGGGTTTTGCAAAAATTAAAATCACAAAACTTTTTTTTTCATAATAACACAATCTTCTGTCTATTTATCTTTCTTTTTCTTTGATTTCTTTGTCACATTTTTTTAATATTTTTAAAAGTCTATTTTCTTATCTTTTCCTTTCAATTTTTAGCATACAAACATATATATATATATATATATATAACTTTTACGTGCTTATCACGTAGGATAAAGTGTATTGGTAGAAAATATGAATAATTTTCTTCTTTTACCCTCATTTCGTAGTCACATTTTTGTTACATGATTGAATTTTGTTAAAGATTTAAAAATGAAGTAACAGAAAATAAATATTGACACCTGTATAGGAATCAAAATGGGATTTGAGTAAAAGTGCAGGGGGTTGACTGTCATGATTTCATGTGTAGGGATCAAAGTAAGATTTGACCAGAAGTGTAGAAGGTTGACTATCATGATTTCGTGTGTAAGGACCAAAGTGAAATTTGATACAAAGTGTAAGGATGCAAAGTGTAATGTACCCTCTAATTTTTGTATGGATTCAATAATAGTATAATTTTTAAATTTGGTGCAAGTTTGGACAGAAATTCTACAATCTAAATCAAAATTTGATCAAGTTCAGGTACAAACACTAGGCAACTCAAACAACTTAAAACTTGAATTATGTATAAATTGTTGGATCAATCTTCTGTAAAAATAAAATAACTCAAAAATAAATTCAAACAAAATAAATAAATAACATACCAGATTTATTTATCGAACCCAAATAAAATTAAGACCAAGTCGAGTGTGTGACACTCTGTCCTTAAGACAGATTCGCCCCGCTACGGTACTTACGATTGAATGGCGTCTATCTCCCAGGATACAATGATCTTCACAAATTTATAGAAGCACTTCAAATAAATTTGTTCGGCGAACCAAACCTATGTTCTAACTCTCTTAAAATTTATTCTAAAACTAGAATGAAGAAATAATGCAAAAAGAAAATAAGAACTGCAAAGAGACAAAAATCAAACAGATTTTTTCGGATCAGAAAAATATGTGTTCTAAGACTGCTGGAATAGAAAGTATTTATAGACACAAAGACACAGCCCGAACAGGTGCTTTCCGAAGTGAACAGGTGCAACACTTTGGACAGATTCAGACCGTTACCCAACAACACTACAATTTCAAATATTGGAAAAGATGTTCCGTTGGTCCAACACACCAACTGTTTGGCACTTTATGTAATAACTATTTTAAATATATAAATATACATATAGAAACAAATTGAATATATGTATATTTATATATTTAAAATAGTTATTACATAAAGTGCCAAACAGTTGGTGTGTTGGACCAACGGAACATCTTTTCAAATATTTGAAATTGTAGCGTTGTTGGGTAACGGTCTGAATCTGTCCAAAGTGTTGCACCTGTTCACTTCGGAAAGCACCTGTTCGGGCTGTGTCTTTGTGTCTATAAATACTTTCTATTCCAGCAGTCTTAAAATACATATTTTTCTGATCCGAAAAAATCTGTTTGATTTTTGTCTCTTTGCAGTCCATATTTTCTTTTTGCATTATTTCTTCATTCTAGTTTTAGAATAAATTTTCA